AGCTAACATTGAACCATGTTAAGCTCTGAAAGCCATGCCACCAAGAAGATTTCAGCCTTTTTTAGCTTTGTGCAGCCTATCCATTCTGGGCTCAAGGGCAATGCAGACAGAGAAACAGTTCAGATCCTCACAGGTAATGACACCGATTACCTGGCAAGATGTGTAAGATACGCTCTCTTGTTCTCTGATCTCTTCCCTTCAATTATCAAGTAGCTCCTTCCCCAGGAGAAAGTTGTCATCAAAGTTCATATGTCTTGTGGCAGAGCTGTGTAATGTCACACTCCTCAACAACTTTAGCCTTAAAATCAGTGTAAATACAAAAACATCAGGTTTGAACCTAAAAGCTCTTGATCATTATTTGTGCATAATCTTGAAATAAGATACTGCTTGCAAATGTGTGAGTGTATACAAGTTCTAGAACTCTGAAAGCCAAATACCCCAACCTAAAACACAAAGAGGACAGTGTGCTGGCATACTGCAGTGACTTCTCCACATGTAAACAGTTTACAGGGACGAAGAGTCTCATGGTTCTACCACTCTTAACTTACAACTCAGGACAATCTTCTTTCTAAGTGGTGAGTCAAGGGAAGGTGTAGAGGTAGAGTGTCTTTCTTAAAGAGCAAGACCTGTTTACTTCTAGGGTTCGTCTAGATTCCAGAAAAGAAATAGGTATGGAAAACAGCAAACACTCCCTCGAAATAGCAAAGAAGAAGGAAGGGCACAGAGAGATTAGTTTATGGTCCAGCAGGCCTAACAGCCGCAATGAACTGGCCTCTTCTTCCCCAGATGGCAGTTCATCTCCACAAAGACACTGGTGAGGGTGCTTTTTTTTCCCCCAGCAGTGGAAAGGAAGAAAAAGTTATAGATTTCTATGCCTCAAAGCAATCTTCTAGAGAAAGCAATTGTTCCCTCCACATCCATTCTTTATCAGAATCAAGACGTAATGGTAAAATAAAAGGAAATGAAGCCTGATCTCCACTGCCCGCCAACTCATATTCTTCCTGCAGTCTTCCCCTCCCTTAGTGACACGTGACTGGATCTTAAAATGTGGTTCTTGTAAATGGGAATTTCATGGTTTTGAAACATTTTTTTCAGAAACAGGACTTCCTCTAGTGCCGATATTCTTCTTGCATGAAAATAAGGCTGTGAAAGCAGTCATATGTACATCATTTTAAATGATTCACTTTATTTCTTAGTGACTATACATTGACTAAGCCATCCTCCCTCCGGAAAAGGCATACAATTCCAGATAGCCGCCTGGGTGCTACAGCATAGTTCTGCTGGAAACTAGCAACCCAGGGGAGGGACTCAACTCCCCATCGCATAAAGACATTCTAAGAACTGTACCCACATCCAGTTCCATCAGCCCAGAAAGAGCAATGTGCTCATTAGACATCATCAAAGCACTGCCTTAGTGTCCACAGGACAAAGGTGGGTCATCAAAGAGTAGGCAGTTAACCAAATGTTAAGATTCAAAATCTGAGATACAATGCCATGATACAACGTTAAAATGAAGCAGGAGAACTAGCTACTTTTCCTTTTAATTGATATTTTAATTTTCCCATTAAAAATGTTCACTTCAGGGCCCTCCCCTGGTGGCGCAGTGGATTAAAGCACAGCACTAAGAAGCTAAAACCACTTCAGCATGAGTTCTATCCCCACCCCGGAGGTGACCACATGGCGCAGCGGACCTCTCCTGACCTGCCCGCTGCTCCCCTCAGCAGTGTACGTCTCAGTTGGCCTGTTCTGCTCCCCATCCTGTCCCTGGTGAATCCTCTCACTACCCCTGCAACTCTGGCCTGTACCCCAGTTCTATATGTATAAATAAATAAATCTTTTTTAAAATGTTCACTTCATTTAAAAATAAAATGAAAACTTAGAACCATTGTACATTCCCACACATTGGGCCATGTTACAAATTCTAGCACATCCCGTTTTCACACTGTGGCCCCATCCCAAATCAGGTTACTGATCAATAACTGAAAGGCTGAGAGTGATTATAATGAAGCCAACTTAGATTAGCAGGTAAAGATGAGCTATGTCAGAAATAAAGGTGTTTGCATAAATATCTGTGGAGTTTTTTGGTCTTACACACAGGTAAGCCAATCATCAAAATCTGCCATTCAAAGATTTCTCTGAATACAAAGCAAAACCAAGCAGGGCTCTTTAGATGCTTGTCTTAACCATTACCATTTATAAATAACAATTTGAAATTCTTACATACCTTTTTAAAACTGTGTTCTAAATTTATTTATATTTTGTCAGATATGTAAATAAAACAGTGCTAAGGAACTCTCCCAATGATGGTGTTTTTGCTAGAAACCCTGTCCTATACCTCCGGAGTACCTTGAAAATGAAAATCTCTGTGTCTTTCAGATGACAGCCACCTTTTCTGCAGAACCAAAATAGCTCTTTCAGCTAGAGAGCTGTCTGTCAGGAAGAGTTCTGACAGGTAGCACACTTGGCATGCAGGAAGAAGGTGAGACATGGTCCCAGAGAAAGCTGACTAAGAAGCTCACTTGGGAACAGCCTGCTCCTCCACCAGGCCAAGCACAAAGGCAACGAGAACTTCTGAAAATGAGATCATCCTGGGGGAAGGGAGCCTGTTAGTGCTTGTGGGATTCTGAAGGACTATATAAGATCCATCCATCTAGTAGAAGTTTCCTAAATGTGAAAGGACTCAAATACACATAAAAGTGTAGGATTTTTTCTCCCTCTAGTGGTGGGGTAGGAGCCTTTGATGTGATAGCCTACCACAACAAAATACTGCTTCAAAATTAAAGGTGAGTTTCCATTATAGTCCATTTTGCCCATAAAATTGGAATTTTCATTAGGACTGCCACTGTTGCTTCTGGTAATTTTCAAAACACCCCGTTACCCTTCCAGTTAGGGAGTGAACTGCTCCTAAGTAAGCTAATTACCAGTGGTAAGGGAGCAGGATCTCCCTTGCTAGAAGATGTCCATGCTTACTTCCTCAACACAGGACTCTTCTCTTCTCTGTAGTCCTATCAAAGGTAGAGGCATGCTGTGAGAAGAGACACGCCCTTGACCCCCAGTCTGGGCCAGAAAAACCTGAGGAGCAAAATGAGAAGGTAAGCTTACCCACAGGAAAAGTGAGAAACACGGGTTTTGTTTCAAAGGTTGATTTCAGTATCAGATAACTTATTTTATTCCACACAGGAAAACTAAAGAGATACTTATAAAGAATCTAAAGAGTGCTCTAAAGGTTATTTAAAATAAAAGGGCAGGGCCCTCCCTGGTGGTGCAGGGAGTGAAAGCAAAGAACGAAGAAGCGAAAGCCACTTCGGCATGAGTTCCATCCCCGCCCCAGAGGTGACCCACCTGGCGTGACAGATCTCTCCTGACCTGCCCGTTGGTCCCTTCAGCAGTGTACTTGGTTGATCTGCTTGTTCTACTCCCCACTCTGTCTTGGGTGAAGCCTCTCACTGCCCCAGCACCTCTGGCCTGTACCCCAGATCTGTATGTATAAATAAACAAATTTTTTAAAAAAAAAATAAAAGGGGCAACAACTAGAGATACTTTGGATTATGTCTCCACGTCTACTTTGCAGTTTCTCTTATCTTCATTTTTGGTTATGTAACACTACTTCTGGTGTAGCAACCTGGGTCAGTGATAGCTAATGAAAACACAGAAAGGACAGAAGAAATAAATAATGACAATTTTACATTAAATTGCATAATATAACTATACAAAAGTATTACTGGAAATAGATCACACAAGTGATAGCTGTCTCTTCAATAGGTTACTGATCAGTAACATAAATTCCATCCATGTGAAGCATGCATGCTGTAGCTTTTCCCCGCTCCAGACTCTGAATTAGGCATCCACATTGCCGTACTTAATTTCTCCTCTTGTATTTCTTCAAGGCAACCAAGTTCATATTTTCCTGCAAAACTGTTTCTTTTCCAGCTCCCTTGTCCCAGTGAATAACTCCATTAGCCATCTGTCCTACAAAATAGAACTCCAGAGGTATTTGACCGCCCATACCTGTCTTCCACCAATCATGTCTGATTCATCACCAAGTCCTTTAATCTCACCTCCTAAATCTAGCTAACATAAGTCAATTTCTTTTTGCTGCCTTCACGCTACACCATTTCATTATTTCTCTCCTAAACAACTACTACTCAAAAGGACATCCACTTCAACCTTTGTCAAATGCATTCTCCACACTGCACTACTTCATTCCATAAATATTTTTGAGGAGATTTATGCTCTGGTACTAAGATAGATAAATTTGACTGGTGGAGACAGAAGATAAACATTGGGTGTAGAGAATTAAAACAGAATGAAAGATTAGCTGAATGGCTATTCTAGACTATATGTTCAAATACAGGTTCCGCTCACTGTCCAAAAGCAGGGCATCCCTATGAAATGGCACTTTCACACACTCAGAAATATCCTAGCTTTGTTACCTTTTCTGTGTGCGTCCTATATAAGCAACACTAGCAAAGGAGGCTTAACTGTTTTTGCTTATTGCTGTATCCCCGTTGCTTACAAATTGAGTCTGGTTTATTCAAGTATTTGTTGCACTCACGTACGCATTACTGCGTTCAGTGGAAAAGGAGATAGAGAAAAACAACTGAGTGGTTAGGGGTACGGAGGAGTTGAAGAAGTCTTCTGGGAGTTACTTCGGCTGGAAAGGCTAACCGAGGTACAAAATCCCTGCCAAACTTTTCTGCGTTGGTTCTTAGTCACCAACAGCTCTCGACAAACGTACACGCGCTCACCAACACTAACCTCTCCGATCCCCCGCTAGGAGGAGTCACGCCTTCCAACCCGGAAGCCCGCCCACCTCTGCTTTTATACCCCTTCCCTCCCTCCGGGCCAGGGTGCCGCAGTCCTCCAGTCGCCGTGCTCACCGGGAATAGTAGTCATCTTCTCCCTACCTATAGAGTTACTAAACGTTTCCAGAACTACACTTCCCAGGGAGCCCCGCGGCTGACAGCGTCGCGTCACGTGACCAGGACTCTGGCGAGGCAATGGCGGCGCCCATGCTGCGCCGGTGCTGTCTTGGAAGGCGTTGGGCGTTCTCTCACATTGACAGCGGTTCTCGCCCGGAAAGAGGGTCTCCCACAGGTTCCACGCCCAACGGGAAAAGGGGACGGTGCTCTGTAGCTCATCAGCCCCTCATCAGGGCCCAGAAGACGAGGAAAGGGTATATTGTTTCATGCCATTACCGCCCCATTAGTCTGAGGTGCAAATGGGAGCTTGGGAAACGATGACCACTACAATACAACTTTCAGTGAATACGTTTTGTTGGGTATCAGGTTGTTGGGCTGAAAACTAAATGAGATCACAAAACAGACCCCCCTGTATATAAACCGCATGTTCAGATAGATAGGCATATTTGGGGGATTCGCGAATATAAATTGCAAATATATAAATACTTTTTAATTAAATTGAAGGCTGCCCAGACAAAAGAGTGAACGTGGTTACCTTACTAGTCTGTGACACCAGAAGCAGCATATTAAGCTGACATTTATTTAGCGTTTCTATAAGCTATAGTGTTGTAAAAATAAAAGGAAGCTTTACCTATAAATTCTGAATAGTGATGACTAATGTCATTAGTTCAGAAAATACCATCTGTCTATGGAGGATGGAAACAGTACAAGTTATCTTCCTCTGGTTATGTAGAGTTTTGCTTATTTCGTTAGACTTTCTCGAATAGCTGTTTATACTTCACTTTATAAGACAAGTAACTTATATTTTAAAACAAAAGCGTAAGGCACGTGTCTAATATTCTGTTTAACCCTTGAGATTGTTAGGTTGGTATTATTTTTCTTTTCAGTTGGAGGAACAGAGGGAAATTGTCGAGAAGTATGCAGTTTTTACTTTTTCCACAAATTAGATTAACTATGAATAGAAAGTATTTTTTGCTCATGTAATGAAGCTGCAAAAATACTTTTGAGTATTTTGAGTAATGTTTTATTGAATCTAGAATTTCTAATGAGTTCTTCATTTAACTCTTTTCGAGTATAGGCCGTGCTTCCAAATGTAAAATACCTTGCGATATTATAGATACCATATAGAATTCCATGTGTTGAAATTACTAAAACAAAACCAAAAATGTATAAACAAAGATCTGAATAATACAGAAAATTCTTAGATGAAGAACAGGGTGCAAATAGGCAAATTACAGAAACAGTATGTGTAAACAGGTCATCTGTAGCATGTCCAGCATATGTAGGTTTTAGGCCAAATTAGCATACTTACAAGATCTTGGCGAGAACTATATATAGAATGCATAGTCAGACCCAACATGAGTACCCAAATAAGACGGATTCTCTGTAGAATTTAACAACTTCTTAAATTTGATTCCAGTCAAACATGAACAATCAGCACAAAAATCTGAAGTTAGATCTCTGGAATTGCAAGTGCAATTTTATTGCAATTTGGGGGGATCAAACAAAACAAAACCAAAAACCTGAAATTCCCAGGAAAAATACCACTAACTGGCTAGTTATTATGTCTGCATCACTCTGATCATTGTATTTTCAAGCTGATGTTTCTAAATGAATTCAAAACTGATAATTTCCTTTTTTAATGAAATATGCAACTATTTATTGAGTTATTTCTCTACTGGTAGATTCCTGATGTTTATGTTAATCCTAAAGTTTGTAAGTCAGCTTTCTTCTTTTATACTGAGAAGTTAATTCAATAAACTGCTTTTCACTGAAGTCAGGCAGTTGCCACCTAAGTTGTTTTGAAATGCCAGTGAAATTTATTTTGCTAGTCTTGGAGGTGTGCGTCTACAAATTGGCTTTGGTTTTGTCATCACTACAATATGACACATTTTTAAATGAAAGAATGTAAAATTTTTGTAAGTTAAAAAACACAAGTATGAAATTAATATTTGTGGCTTAGGCTTGTAGAAATTCACCCAACTACTTCTTAACAATTCTGTCTTTCTTCTTAGTGAACAGAAATGGGCAGCTGTGGTAGGTTTGGAAATTCATGCTCAGATTTCCTCCAACTCTAAACTCTTCTCTGGATCTCAAGTTTACTTCTCAGCACCTCCAAATTCGTTGGTGTCTTTTTTTGATGCATCCCTGCCTGGAACTCTGCCGGTAAGGTTTTTATTTAATCATACTTTCTTAAGAAAGTGTTAATATTTTACTTAACCTAGACAACACTTTCCTTGTTTTAATATTTTGTGTAACTCTGAAATTCTTATTTAGGGAATCTTGGACAAAATGGGATGGACTAAATATTTTATAAAGACCCACCTCTATAACTCTGTTTCAGAGTTTCAAGTCATCTGTTTATTCATACATTTACCCACTTATTTCACACATGTTTTAGAATGTCTACTAAATACCAGACATCGTACTGTGAACTAGAAAATTAAGATAAGCAATGATCCTTGTCTTGGAGGAATTTAAAGACTAGTTGGCAAAATGTGTCTTATAAACAAATAATGTACTATGTGATTTAGTCTGGTGAAGGTAATATGCAGAGAGTGGTTTTGGAATCAGAGGAGGAACACCTGGTTCAGTAACAGGAGTACTGTGAGAAACTGGGGTGTGGGTATGACTAAGGGTTGTTAAGGAAAGGTTGTTAGAAGAGGTGGTGTCAAGCTATCTGTGAAGCCAGGCTGGAGACAAGCAAATAAAGAAGCAGGAGTCTGGCAAAAGGAAGCAGCTATGTCACATGCTACTCCAACGGAAGGTCAATAATGATTATGGTTATTAAGAGCTAAGAAATGACCAGTAAAGGAGAAAATTGTCAACCACAATATGCATTGATCCAACTATACACTTCCACATAAACTCAAGGAATGACTGAATCCAGTGTACTCATCAGCAAATTTTTTAACATATATTTTCTTGTATTTGGCTAAATTTTGAAGAACACTGAATGTTTAGGCTAATGAACAGCTTATAGTGTATCCAGGATATACGGTGTCAGCAGAGTTTCCTGCCATCCTCGGAGGGAATATTATGTGTGCCAGTGGGGAGGGTGGTGAATTCTATACTCTCCAACATTTAAATCCAGTGGAAGCTGGTTGAACTGAGCACTGGCAGACTGGCAGGGGCAGGGGCATCTTTTAGCCCAGCGTGGACTGTCCAGGCATCCCTCCCATGTGCCAACCACATCTGGGACTTTGGTAGCTTTGGGGCAGTGTCTGTCTTGCAACTTTGTCCTTTCTGGTGGTTTCTGTCATAGAGGTCTCCTGTCCCTTCCAAGTAATATCCAAGGTGACCTTTGATTTGCTGTTGGGTCTCTTTCCTCCCACTCTCCCTGTTCCTGGCTTTGAGTAGGGAAGATTTTTTTTTCATTTGTTTGAAAAGAACCAGTTATAAATGTTTAAGTTCTTCACTGGGCAGAGGGTCATAGTAGGAATAAAGTAACATCTTATTCAGACAAGTGAAATGCAAAGTAGTTTATCATAACCCTTCTCTTTTTTTCTTCCTTAAGCCCAAACTTTTTTTACAAACATGGTAGTTCATTTCCAAAAGACCAGGCATAACCTCTGTGTTCTTTCTAGGTTTTTCCTAATATCTAGCCAAGTATTCTTTAGTTCACATTTAGAAACAGACTTCTTAGTAGAAAGTTATGTTATCTCCAAATAGGCTCCTCAGTTGTGGCTGAATGTGTTCAAAATAACCAGAATATTAACATGCTTTGTACCATTTCCTGTCGGACCCCAAGAAGGTTCTTAGTGATAATATATCAGTAACACAGTGAAGGTCTTTGACACACTTGCACATTGAGAGGACAGTACATTAATTAAACGATAGTCAAAGGCTAAGTTGGAATTTCTTTTTTTCCTCGTCAGAGTATGTAACGCCTGTGGTTTGACTAACCAAATGGGTTATTCTCTCAGCAGAGGTGATCTGCTGCTTCTTTTAGAAATGTGTGTCATGAGCTGACCACAGCTCTCAGGCCTAAGCCTGTGACTTACCTACATCAAGATGTAAAATCTGCTGAAACCTCTAGACAGCTGCCCTTCTCCAGGCCCTGCAGGATGGGCCAAGGATACTCTGGTGGCCTGGCTCTGCACTTGGGTATTTTTGCCCCCAAATGGTGACCCTTTGTCAGAGACACTGATAACAAGTTAGAAAAAGACAATCAAAAGAATCTAGATTTTGGTGTAAAATCTCTTTGTGGAGACCAGATTTTGTCTGCTAGCGATTTCAGTTACCATGCTGGGCCGTTAAAGAGAAAATACAGTAATGAGTATCTTTTTGTAGGCATTTGATTCTCCCTCCTTCAGTGCATCTTTATTCATGCACCGCAGTGACATTCACTGGGTGTCTGCCATGAGCTAGTGAGCATACTGCTTGACTAGCACAGCTTTAGAAGATCCATCCTCATAGAGCTTGGACAAGGAAGCAGGCAACCCTGTGCTTTTAGTAAACATGTTGGGCAGTGGACAGAGAGGCTGCTCTAGGACTACATAGAAGGACATTCAACACAGGAATTCTGCAAAGCTGGCCAAATAAAATATGAGGAACGTATTTAAAAAGCAAAACAAAAGCAGGACCGTGTGTGGTAGAAGGGCAAGAGGCGAGGCTGGCGTTGAGTGTCATGTTGACCTTGTGAGTCCCACGAAGAGGGAGGAAGATGTAGGGTGTGAGGGGCCAGCAGTCCCATGGCAGGGAGTGGAGAAGGAGGCAGTCCAACGGTGTGGCCTGTTACCCAGAGGTCACGCAGCCGCTGAGGGGGAGAGTGTCTGTAGCATATGCTAACAGATGCTCTTTTGCAGGACGAGTTTCAGCAGGGTGGTAGTAGGGTGTGGGGCCCAGTGGGTGGGGAAGGGAGATGGTGGTGGATTGAGAAGTTCTGGGGTGTTGTGGAAGAGGTGAGCGTGCAGAGACGTGAGCTGTACTGAGACGTTTGGCTGTGAGGGAAGAGGACACAGCATGTTCAGGGAGATGTGGACTTCAGGGAAGATGTTTTTCAGCCTTGATTTCCTAAATGGTAGACACTTAAAAAATGTTTGAAGAGGGTCGATCTCATGTTAAATGTTTTTAGTATCATAGAATAATTTTTTTTTTTTTAATCCTGGTGAGAAGGAGCCAATGAAGAGGCAGGCAATTAAAGAGACATTTGATAATGTGGTAAGTTGAACATACACATTTAATCTGTCTCCCACTCCACCCCAGAAACACCCACTGAAGTATGGTGAGAGAATTTAGAAGCTAAACACCTACAGGAGACCAAGTGAGAAGGCCACAGAGAGCACAATTGATGGCAGGTGGAGGGTCTGACGTGCAGGCTGACTCACACCTAGCAAGAGACAGACCCACACGGGCGCTCGAGACCCACCCCATGCCCAGGCAGCCTCGGGAAAGGCCACTGCTGGGGGAGTCTGCAGGAGGTGGACTTACAGGGTCGACTCCGAGTCTGACAGAGAGCAGGTAGATGCTGTCAGCATCTTAGCCCCTCGCATTAAAATTGACATCCAGAAATCACCAGACATTTGAGTAAATTCTCCAGCTTTATAGAGCCCAAAATAAAAAAGGGAACTATACCCAGAAGTAACAGATACTGTACAGGGTTAAGGAATACTGTTAAAATGGGTAGTTTTTATAAATATCCTTAGAAGAAAAGGTACCTACATCTTTGAAACGAGAATACAATATTACTTTTTTAAAATGATCACAACAAAAGTGAATATTCAAAAACTAAAACTCTGATAATCAAGAAAAAAACCCAGATGAGTTAGAGGATAAAGTTAAGAAGCTCTTCCAGAAAGTATAACACTGAAAATGAATTGGACAGTTGGGGGAAAATAAGAGAATCCAGGATGTCTAACGCTGAGTAATAGGAGGTTGAGAAGAGAACTCTCTGCCAGATACAGCAGGTGAATTTCCCAGAACTGAAGACATGAGTCTCCCTGCCAGCACCCAGCACCAGGAATAAAAATAGTCTCACAGGCAGGCATGTCATCGTGAAGTGTGGGAAGCCAGAGCTGCAGAGAAGATACGAGAACTTGCCGGCAAGAAAGGAAAGATCACAAGTAAAAGCATCGGACTTCTTAAAAGCAGCACTTACAGCTGGAAGAGAAGGGAACAGTGCCTTAGAAATCTTAGGGGGCATCATTTTAATCTGCAGTGCTGTACCAGCCTTGTAAAACCAGGGTGCAAGTAGAATCATCGTGTTTTCCGACAGGCAGTTTCTGCAAAATTCACCTTCTGTCACTATGAGAAACTACTGAAATACTAGAGAGGTTCCTGAGTGCAAACTCTCACAGGCTCCAAGCATCTGATGGGAGAGGAGGTTGGGTGACTCTAAAAGAGAGGTTTCAAGAAAAAAGGAGGTGGATGGGAATGACAGGTATCTGTGCACACGTGTGCACCCACAAAAAAGAGATTTTATATATGAACTGGAGTTCTTAGAATAGGAAGCAGTAATTAAAAAATGAAGCAACGGACAAAAGGAGAGCTCTCTCAACTCCAGAAAAAAATAAACCATATACATAATCACAGTATACTTAAGAGCTCAGCAGAGAAAAATATTTACATAACAAGAACATTAATAAATAGAAGCATCAACTACTGATTACTGATTCTTAACCAAAATGGTGATATCACTGGGATATTGGGAAGTAAACGAACTAAATTCTTATCGTCCATCATGGAAAATCCTGTTCTAGTTGACAAAACAAAGAAAAGTAAGAATATGCTTTGGGAGGGTCTCTTTTCAGGGCTTAAGGTCAGTTGATTGGTTATGGATAATGTTTCCTTTTTTTTTTTTTTTTTAATAAGGCAATGAAAGTATTAGATGATTGGCAAAAAGGATTTTTCACTAGTTTTTAAAATTTGTACTAAAAATAACAAATGATCACATATTACCTCTACTGACCTCTTGGCTTTTTGCTGGTATATTTCTCTTTTGTTTGCAAAGTTCTAAAAGTAACAGGCCCATCCTTAACTCCCTCCCGCTCTTCTTGGAAGTAAGTACGGTCATCCATATGCAAGCTCAAGCATGATGGGGTCACTGCTCCCTTTGGGGTTGGAGACTGACCTCTCCCCTACCAATTTTCCACTTGACCTTTTTGCCCTTTAATGCTCCCGAGTTTATCATGGGGTTGCATTTGGGCCTGTTTACTCTTGAATAG